ATGTCAGAGTCCATATTTTATTTCCATTAGATATGTACACATATCGTTTATTGTATATGCTTGCAATACCTGAAGAAAAAATGGGGAAAAATTATGTTGCTAGACACGCCTGACAAAATATAAATGACACTCTACTGAAACCATTGTTTTAAATAGGAGCTCCTTTCAAAGGAGAGAGCTTCTAATAAAATACCTACTTAAGTGAAAAATGAAAACGTAATTTGAACCTGTTTATTTCAGTGTAAAAGACATATTGAAAAACTTCTTTTATTATATTTAATGTAAATCTATAGAAAATCTAGTTTTATCTATGAAACTTACTAAAAACCAAAGACTTACATTTTAGCATTTTGTCCTCAGCCTCTTTAAGGTGCAGCAGTGATGTGGGACACCAGGCAGGAAGCCAGCTGAATAACCATCCAAACCTAAAACAGCAACACAGAATAAAAATGTCTTGAGCAGCATGGTAATTTTTGGCACTGAAGCTTTGAAGACATTTATTTTGCTGATCTTCATAAGAGAGCCCACATTAAGCACATGGTGTGAAGAACATGATTTTGCAGTGGGAGGGAATTCATTTTTTCCTGACTTTATAAAAAGTGTCATCACAAACAGGGACATTCTTCAAAGGGTAAACAGTTTTTCCACCATGCCCTCCTATCACAGCATACTGATCTGGAGACATGAGCCCTCACATCGACCCAACAAGCTTGGCAGGATATGTAACAATCACTGGAGTTTCCAGCCTCCTCTCAAGTTCCTTTGGAAGTCTGCCTGCACAAGCATAACCTTGCATGAACCTATTATTTCCAAAAAAGCAGTAAGCTCTGTGTTCACCAACCTAACCTAATTTACTCCAAATTTAAAAGTGAAAAATAAGCAGGTTTTTCCAGCAAAGCAAAAACCTAGGACCTTAATTATGAACTTAGAAACAAAGTCTCAGAGGAAAACAAACAAGCAATTCCCTCAACAGAAGCTGCTTTTCCAGCTGTCAGTTACTATCTTGGTACTGCCAGCTTGACCATGAGAGGAGGGGGAATGACTCAGCTGGCAGCCTTGCCTCACCCAGTCCTGCAAAGGATACAGCAATTTGGTACAGCTCTTCCTGGGTGCTTGTTTAGCCCTTGTTTTTAAGATGGAATCTTGTTTTTCCATCTCTCACCTGATTTTGAAGTGGCTTAGACTACCAGTGCAAAGCTGCCGCTGCACGACCATTCCTCACAGGGAAGAGGATGTCAGTCACCAAATCAACTTTCTCCAGCACTCCTTTTCTACACTGAACTGCTTTCCAGTTACAGAATTTTCATGACTGAACACTGACAGTATTAGTTATACAACAACCAGTACTGAAAGACTATTAGGTTACTAATGTCCAGTTTTTCAGTGTGCACAACACATCAATAAGGCCCCACAGATTCTTTATCCGAAGGATTGTCCCCACACATTCCAAGGGGCTGACCTACTACAGCTGCATGGCTCCCGAAGTTTATCATATGACATGGAAGGTTTTCTGGGAATGCACAATGCAACTGCCAGCAGCATTATTCAGATTCATAGAAACCTGTGAGGGGACATTAAGACAAAAAAGCCCCAAACCATATCCGACCAGAAAGGATTAATCATCCAATCAAACAGGCCCATTGCTATTTAGCATTATTTACTCCCCTACACTGATATCTGGCTGTTCTGTAAATAACCCTCCTGACCCACCAGATCACCAGAATTGTTATAAGGAGGGACCATGGGAACTGTTATCACCATTTTAATGGAGGGGCTGGGAACAGATGGTTGTACATCCTTCCATGCCATGTGCTCATGCAAGCTATGAAATGAAGGAATTTAGCACCTTATAGGAAAATGGGCATCCAAGTATTCTGCTTCCATGTTAAATTATGCATTTATTTAAAAGATTTTTAAGAAGTTAAAGCTGGGACAAGCCAAAAGTATTTTTACCCACAAGTCATTGTGAAATCCGAGTTTAACAATAACACTAATTGTGTCCAGTGCTATGAATTACTCTGGTAAATTATTAAACAACAGCTAGGTTACCACTCTTCTGAGTCAATCTTTCTGCTAGTAATATGCTCAACTAGGCATTTTCATTCTTAACTCTTAGGTAAGAAACAAAACCAGTCACTGTTTCCCCTGAACTGAAACTCTGTGTACTGTTTCTTCTCAGAAAAACCACTGAATCAACAAATAAAATACATAAAATACTTTAAAGATTTTATTTATTTACAGAAATGTAAAGCTGCAACACATCAACAAGAAAACAGTGCAGGGATATGGCCACAATGAAATAGAAGTGACATCTACATATCATAGTCCCAGAATTGTATTTCCTAGTCCTAGGAAGGCACCTGGATACTTAGGAAAATTATTTAGGAAAAAGCATCAGAATGGGAAAGTTGCCCATTCCTTTGGTTAGTTATAAGAATTGTTTAGAAATACTTAGATTTTAATTCAGAAGAGACATTGCATACATGTATAGTTTGACAAATACAGTTAGCAAGCTGACGCTTTTAAAATTAAAGCTATGTTTGCAATTCTGTGCTATTGTACTTGCTGAACTAAAAGAGTAAACAGTGATGGCTTTCAGGAAAAAAAAAGTAAGCCTTTTCTAGAAACGTTATTTTAGAAAGAAAATATTTAGTTGCCTATATTCAAGACTTAATCCTTTGTTTGCCTCCTTCCAAAAATGATTTACCACATTGCTAGATGTTTTCCACACATGGAGAATAAACATCTATTTAATCTATTTGAAAAATTTTTCTGAATAGCTTTGGAAAGCTATAGTTGTAACATTTCTTCTGTACATCTGTGCTAAATGTATCTTCTAAATGCATACAGGAACATCCATTGCTTACATGGTCTATCATTTTTATTTCTGTTATATAAAGCTGTAAGTGCTACATAATGTCAAAAATGAAGCAATGGGCCTTTCAAAACAGTATGCACACCAGCAATGGAGATGAGTTATGAAAGAAAACAAATGATTCCAGCAGTAGCTTCACATTGTGAGATACCCACTGCCAGAAGAGGCAGACCCCACACTGCTCTCATCACCCACCACTTCCCCTGCACTCTGTTCCCACCTGTCCTTTTACAGAAAGTCAAGTGCAGAATCTTGTATTTCAAGGAGTTAAAAGTTTCAGGCCCACTGGCCTCAGCTACTTGCTATTCCAGAAAGTGTGAAATAAATCTGGCAACTGACAGCCCAAATTGTTATAATTTTTTACCAAATATATTTACAGGTGTTACACATCAAATTACCAAGGCACATAACCAGTGGAATTTAACCTGTGTATTTGTTTGTGGCCATGTAGTAACACAAACCAGTGCTCACATCCATGCTAAAATAATCAATAACCAGGAGCAGGGCAAAGCATCGCAGAGGGTGATTCCTCGCATCTTCAGTTTGTTATGTTTTTCACATCTATCTGAAAATGTCTGGAGTAACAGAGACTGGAAAAATCGGAGACTAGCAGGTGGGGTAGAGGGCTGCTGGCCTGCCAGGCATTCAAAGGAGTCACTCTCTTTGCCGACAGACCTCCACACAGACTTCCACACTTCTAACACATCTAGGGAATGAGACCAGAAGGTAAGGGAAAGCCCTGGAAACACCCACTGAACGACCTTAGTGAAAGTCAAAGTGATTAGTGTGAGACTAGAAGATTAGTGGGAACCATTAGTAGCCTATGCTGATGATCAAATACAGTAATAAATAATGCAAACAAAAGGAACACATGCACAAACATCTGACAAAGTGGAGCTGCAAGCACCACGTGCAGGGGCCAAGCCACCAGGCAGGATCTAACACAGTGGCTGGTTGGAGCAAGTGTTCTGAGACCCTGGTTGCAAGCAAAAGAAAGGATAAAAATATATAATTATTACTGTATTTTGACACTTGATGTGTGAATGAACATTGTTTTAAGTGTAGCTCAGGACAATACTGCTTGTCCTTAGCTGCTTGAATGTTAATTTGAATCAAGAACTTGCAGTCACAGCACTGCTTGAATTCCCCGGGGGTAACTTTCAAAAGAACTAAGAATCAAGTAGAGGCAGAGGTACCGTGAGCCTGACACAACCATTCACCTCCACTACTCAGATCAAACCAAATGAAGAACGTGGCAAATTGGTTGTACCACAGTTACCTTTCTGTCAGCTCCATTAACCCTATTCAGCTTGGTGAGAATTGATTCCATGCAAGACAATTAATGGATCTGCAGCCAGTTACAAATACAAATTTAGCATATTCACAAAAAGTTTGTAAAAGTTTAGATACTGATGAAGAATTGAAAATGTATGTTTTACCAATGAGGTATGTATTAAAACAGCTGAACAGTCTATTTGACTTCTGGATTGTAACGTGGATTTAAAAATTGGAAGCTCTACCACATAAAAATATTCAGCAGAAGTTGCTTATAACTCTGTCCAGGAGATATAAATGTACAGAAATGGAGCTCATTCTCTCACCTTTCAAGCTTACATTACAAGCTACATTACAGTTATACGAATGCATGGCTTACAAGATGTAGGAAGCTTGACATCATTCAATGGAGGGATCTCCCCAGCACTGCAGACCTAGTTGTCATGATCTGTGGAAAGTCTGGCAGAATAGCAAATCAAAAAACCTGGGGTTTGCAAACAGGTTGCAAAAAGGTAAAAGAACTCCACCAAACCAGAGTAAATGAATACAATACCATTTGCTACATGATCACCTGTCAAAATTTTCTGACCCACCAAGACAGGACATGCAAAAACCTTTCTAAAGTGTTGAATATAAAATCAGCTTTTCACTAAGAATTTTGAAGCTAGTATGGTAAACAAAACTCCAAATACAGACCAAATAACATGCAGCAGTGACAGGAGTGTGGAGAACAGATTTTCCTGTCACAAAGAATTATCTGGATTTAAAAATTACATCAGTAAGGAAGCCAGAGCTCAGGTTATACAACAAATACACAGTAACTTGCAAAGGAAGGATTATGGGAAAGTAACTGAATGCACAAGCAACAGAGCTGCAGGATTATGGGAAAGTAACTGAATGCACAAGCAACAGAGCTGCAGTTCGTCTTGCTCTTAGGAAACAAATGTATTTAATATTTTTAATCAAACTTTTGCAGACAATATTGCAAACTACCAAGATCTTAGCTAGGGAGCAAGTTCAAAAACTTAAAAAGCTTTACCCTTTGCCCTTAAATCTTATTAGAATGAAGCTGAGCTCTCAAAAACCCTAACCCTCTCCTCTCCTGACTCTCAGAATTAATTTCAGCCATTTAGGAGTAAGTAATGAAAGAAAAACAAATTAATGCAGAGAATTTTTTAGTTTCTGCCCAGCACCAAGAGGAATGGCATTGGGATTTTTCAGGGTCTTTCAGCAGACAATGCAGTTATAAGCACCCAGAAATTTGAGCTGGCTAGCTCCAAATTAAGAGACTCTTGCACTGTAACAGAAAAAACAAAGGTAAGCTATTGGGAAGGCAGCTCAGATTTTACCCTCTTGTTTATGCATAATGTATTTTTGCAGTACTGTGCTAGCAAAGGAATTCAAAATTGCCAATATTTTGAAATCTAAATATCAGCAACATAAGGTTCACTTTTCCAAGGTCTTACATAAGCCTCGGTCTTACATAAACCTCATCCCATAAAAAGGCCATGATATGTCTCACAACTCATTCAGCCCTTTCAGTGGTTACAGAAATACTAAGAATGGGCAAAAAAATGGAGGAGTGAAAAGATGCATCAGGTATTCATAACTGGGGAAGAGGTCAGCATATCAAATTTATGGCCAAGCGTTAATTTAAAAAATAAAACCATTTTCTTATAACGCTTTATAAACACTTTACAGTTAACACAGGATGGATGCTTAACTGAAGTAATACAGATATCCTTTTACCATTTTATCTCCTTTTTACTGGATGCTTTCTGCATTTTCCTCAGCATCAGCAGTAGCTTACACAAAACTTAAGAGGTACATAGGATGCTTTCTTCCACCACCAACACAACCAAGTTTTCAGACCAAATTCTATATTTGGTTACTAAATTTCTAGTCTACAGGTAATAACCTGAAACAATAAAAAGCAAAAGAAACAGTCAAGGATGACACAATCAAACAGAACTTTCTGTGTCAAAATGTCAGAGAAAAGTAGCAGGTTTACATCTGGCTCATTTCTATCCATGACAGAATTGAGTTATAATAAACTTTTCCCATTTTATTAATTTAATAGCCTGCAATATGAGAATACTGGGTGTTGTTTACATGACTGATTATGGCAAGAATTGATCCTTCTTTGTTAACAGTTACCAGCAACACCACCATGGCAAAAACCCCTAACATGTAAAGAAAAACATTTTAGTAATCACTATATCCAAGGTCCATCTTGGTTGCTGTTCTCTGTGCCAAATTTGTGAAATTCAGGTTTAAAAAGCACTAGATTTTAAACCAGATAGTTCTGGTTTAACCCAGCTACAGAAAAGCCAGAAAGTTAACCAGCAGACCTATAAATTAACACGGTGGTAAGAAAGACTGTGAGTCAAGGTGGGGGACATCAAGCTTTTAAGTCAGAGCTGCCACTGACAGACAGTAACATATAATCATGACATCAAGTCCACATTTAACTAGGCAGGGATGTTTCTGCAACAAGGCTCAGGATATGATTTCATGAGAATCTTAAGAGCATAAGCAATTTTAGAAGTCCTTGAAGTCCTTCATTCCTGTCCCTGAAGTGCAGCATGTTCTTTAATGTTTCTGTCTTCTGACAACACTGAATATACTCAGTCTCATTCAGGCATACACAGTAACTGTTGTTGTGAAGGCTGTATATCCAGGGACAAAGATTCTGCATGTACAAGAGAATTCAGATGTAGCAACCACAACAATTTGAATGAGATGTTCCTAGGACAAAACACTCTGGCAGTTGCAGACAAAAATCAGGAGAAGAAAAATGTTCCATGTTTCACTTTCATTGAACAGACTAAAAATCCTCAGGGAATGGCCTTGAAGTGCATACTGAAGAGGCAAGACCCAGAAACAAGTATTAGGAATAAGGTATGGGAACAAAAAATCTCCTTGCTTTAAGAAATGTCTATTTACTGTTTTCATGAGGAGACAAAAATGGCTGAAATCATTGTCAACAGGTTAGAAAAGGATAACAACTTTTTTTTTTCCCAGATGACATTATAACCCTGCCCATAAAAGCTCTGTTTAGATGAATTTTGAGCCAAGATGTTCCATGCAATTAGATGTTGTGAAACTCTTGGATACTTCAGTAACATTAAAACAGAATGTTTTGAAAACCTCTGCATAATATTTCTAGGAAGTGTAACATACATCAGCCCCATTCCAACACAAAACCCATGATAGGTTATTGCAGAACACTGCTCTTCATTAGGGCAGAGGTGAAAACAATGCATTCCTCACGTATTTACTGCATCTTGAACTCTGTGTTCAGAACATTCAACATCAGAATTAATATAAAAATCCAGAAGCAAGTTTTATTACTGTTTTTATCAAAATTAACTATCACTTATCAAAATTAACTTGAAAATGTACCTCATGGACATGAATCCAGAACCAATGAGATTTTCTGGAAATTTTACAGATATTAAAGTTTACTGTGCTTATTTTAAGTCATTTGAGCAACCTGAGCACTCATGAAGTGGAAAGGACCTACAATTCTGCTGTCTCCCATGTTGGACCTCAGACACAGGTACATCTTGCAGTGTAACTCACATCATTGCAGCCCCCTCCCCCCTTCTTCTGCATTTCCCAGCTCTGCCTTTTTTTTTTTTTTTTTTTTTTTTTTTAACTATGTGCATCCTTTTTTCTATGCTTCTGTAATCTTCGACCCTCTTTCTAGCTATACCCAAAGGTCTCCGTTTCAGGGCAAGTGCTTTTTCAGTATGTACCACAAGAATGAAGTTTACCCATAGAGTGTCACCCAAGCCTGCAATGTGCAATGCTTACACTGCTTACAAAAAAGCTGTGATAGCACCCAACTCAGTTTCACATTCCTATTTAAAAGCTAAAAAAAAATAAAATTAAAAAGAATACATACATATTAGCAACTACATACCACGTATGTAACAACAAAGAAAACAGAGATAAAGATGCAGAGAAGAAGCAAGGGGCAAGCTGCACAGCCCCACTAAAGCTCCTCACCCTTGTGACAGAGACCATGGGTTAGGTACCACAGAGGTCCTACCTCTGCCCCATCCACAGTAAACTCTGTGTCTGATAGAACTTGGCAATGCCACACATTTCAAGTGTTTTTACAAACAACACACTGCACATTGCAGTAAGAATGTGCGAAGCAAAGTGTAATTAAAATTTCCTCTTGATACCCTCAGATGTTATTCAACTTTCTACTGCTTTTATTTTATTCATACATCAACTGATGTACTCCTGCTGCCCTTCAGATATTGCATGACTTCAACCTGGCTTAATCCTTGTCAGCCTTCTCTTACTTACAATGCCAGCAGTTCAAATTTCAGCCCGTTTCCAAATTCCATCAAACTGGACAAGAGCAAAGCACGCATGCAACAGGCACCTCTCACTAACCTGTACCATTGCCCACTCACACCCCACCCTGCTTCTCTTTTGGTAAAATTCCATTGTGTATCATGCATGCACAATTAAGATTACAAGATTAGGAGGTGAATGCTTTCACTTTTTCGTAAGGGCCCATATAAGAACACAGATATAAGACTATATAAAGCATATGATCACTTCCCTCAGCTCCAAACACGCTATACACAAACCCCACTTGTACACAAGTATAAATACACACTGAGAGTTGTTTCACTGCAATTCACTGGAACAGCTTCTATAATGTGTTCCTTTATCACAGTCACCTAAGTTGACAAAGAGTTACCTATGTCAAAATGCAAGAACTGGTAATCAACATTTTGGACTACCTATCCCCATTTCCATTTTCTGGAAAACCTAAGAGGTGTGCAACCCTTTTGATAACAGACTATTTTCTCTACATGCTTACACCACAAATGCTTCAGGTGTGAAGAAGTGCAAGTAGTCTTCAAAATAGTTAAGAAGTCAAATGGGTTTAAAAAGCTATCACATCAAAAGTTCCCTTACGGAAAGATAAAGATATAATTAAGAAGACTTTTGTGTCAGTATGACACCAAATTACTAAAGGTAGCCAATTCCACAATGGTCTGTTAGAGCACTAACCCACCCCATTTCTGTGTTTTGCCTTTTGCCACACCCTTCTCTCCCTCACTTCAATGTATGAGCAGACTTTCTCAATGGCAACACGTGCTCTTGCATCTTCTTTAGAGAATGTGTTTTTTTAATTCCCACATCTTCCCCTCCTTTCTGTAGTCTCCTATCATCTTAATTTTTCTTGTACAACACACTCAGAACACCTTCCTTCTCTGCCATTCCTCACCATACCACCATGTGTTCATGCTGCCACTTAAAATCCTCCTTTTACCCTCTTAACCTTATTCCAGATCGACCTCATTCCCTTACACAGCTTTACTGACTCACAAATCTCTCTTCTCTAGTGACCTCTCTCCTGCTGCTCAGCTTCTCATCTGGATCTTTCTGAGCCAATATAAATGCGGACACTCACCTTTCCTCCCATGCCCTCCTCTCCCTGGCTGTCAATGCAAATCATGTACCAAAAAAACATCCCAAAAGAATGTCAGAATTGCAAGTAAATACTCAGAAGTTATGAAACACAAGAATCAAAATTTCCTCAGCAAAAAATCCTAATAAACCACTATATAAAAGAAAATATATTTTAGTAGTTTATCAGTTGGAGGAGTTGTTCAGAGTCTCCCACAGAGGTTCAGAACAATCAGAGAATCCCTGGCACACAGGCACTGTCCCATTCAAAGAGGTAAGTCTCTAACTGGGCCTAAAAGCCCCCAGCAGGCTCTAAAACAACTTTTTATACACCCAAATACATGCAATACTGGCTAAAATTTGTGTTCTACAATGACCCATAGTCACCAGCACTACAGCAGCCCCACGGCTAGTTGCACATCTGGATTTATAGCTTCACTGTCATTTCCACTGGGGCTAAGATCTCCCTTAAGTCTACTTCGGCAGCCTCTGAAGAAATGTCTTTGCTTGATACTTGGAAATGGGGTTATGAGCATCTTTCTTCTGCCCCCAGAATGAAAAGATAGCCCCTGTTACATTTTGCCATCTTTCCCTCTCTCCCTTTAGTCTGCATTAGAAGATGAGAGATCTTCATGAACACAGATCTTCCCTCCCCAAATTCATACAAGTACCAGAAACCATTAGAAATAATCCCATAAGTGCATGAAAACCTGCTCATACAAATACTTTCTGATGAGCTCATGCATGTAACACAAAAGGCATTAAGTACTGAGGCTGTGACTTACACAACATTGCCAGCCAAGAAGACAAAATCAGAAAAGAGGAAGGAAATGACCTTTAACCTTCTCCCACATCTGCTTTTCACACTGCACTTACATCTCACTCAGTTTTTTAAAAATGCAAGTTGTAGCTACCAAGCCTGCATTCAGTCATCTTTACCATGGGAAAGAAGAAAAGTAAGCAGGACTCTGCTTTCAGCAGTCTACCCACTCAGTTTGCTTTAAAACCTAGATCGTGTAACCAGCAAAAAATTCCAGCAGAAATTCTGAGTTGAGTGTCCCATCACGCTGTAATACAGTGAACCATCCTACTAAGAAGACAGAGGCTCTATCAAGCCTAATAAACTATTCCTCTTTTATTAATCAAACAACTCACTTCAAAATTAAGTTCTGTAATACAAACAAGCTTGAAAGGTAACACAAAAATAATTGTGAACACTGGTGTTAGAGTCTATGTCTTTACCTTCACTCCAACTATTTTATGAGACCAAAGGCCACTTACAAGTAATTTGATGTGGGCTTGTAACTGCAGATGCCCTGAAGTTCTGTTTTAAAGAAAACTATCCCACTTATCTCAGAGGGGGGAAAAAACCCCCAGTATTGCAGTTTGGGGATCTTTTTTCTGAATGTATACACACATTTAGCAGCTGTTCTTCCTAGTTATATTACAAGCCAGAAGCAGTCCTGCTGCATCCAGAGTAAATAAGTGAATTCAAAACTGGCAAAAGGCTCACACTAGGCTGTCTGCCTCACAGGCAGAAGTCTCCATCTAAAACTTACAGAGAGGAGGTCCAAGGCTGTAAACAGGTTTGGAAATCAGTAGCAGGTGACATGTTAACCAAGCAATCACTGTCATTGTGACTACTAAAACATTTGTTTAGTTAATCTTCTAATTCAAAGTTAGGACAGGGCCATGAATATTTTTCATGAATATTTTTCAGCTGAGATCTTCCAGAAAGTAACTGAACTACTGTTATTCTGTTTCCACCATGCTTTGCACAGTTACCAAACTGCAACAAAGCAAGCATCATTGCATAACAAATTGAGTCACACTACTGTTTTCAAAGCAGATAAACTTTGCATTTATTCTTTGTGTGCACCTGTCACTAGTCATTTAATCTAGGGGTTTGATGGTATATTGAACTTCCTACCACTGCCACGGCATTCTAAATGAAAAATTATTTAACATATTTCTCTTGTTTATAAACTTCCCCCGGGTACTGAGCTTTACTTGACTTCAAAAGATGGACAAATGCTGATTTTAATTATTGCTAGAAACCAACCAATAAAAGCCCTAACACTTCAACACAAATGTGTTTTCTGAATTCATGGAAAAAGATGATGAGATTTTATTCTTAGAAATCTTTAGTGCGTTGGGAGGCTTACACAGAAAAATACCACATCAACATCTAATCATTCAGAAGTTCTGAAAATCAACACCCCTTAAAAGCCATCCAGCTGTGTAAACCACATGAGAAACTTGCAATAATCCTCTTGAAAATTCAGCCTAACCCTAGTTCCAGATCAACGAGTGTTACGATCCCGCAATCCTGAAAGGCAACTCGAGTTGAGGGTGGCTGGCACTGTCTCAGCAGCACTCAGCACTCTGTGTGATCAAACCAGACAGCTAATGCAGTTCAGGCTAATGCGCTGAATGAACACACAAACAAAACAGGCTGAGGCAGAGCTATTTTAAGACTTGTACTTAGAAAACCTGTAAACCAGCAACAAGAAGCTTTACAAACTACTTGTATTTAAGACTGTGAAGAGGTCAGAAAGAACACAGAACCAAGAAGGGTTTCACTTGTAGTTTCAAGTGGGTAATGTTGCAGAAGGCAGAGGTTGTGTGAAGGAGAGGATTTTGGAAAGC